ATAACATCGGAAACGCTGCAGCAAACAGCCACTGATTTACTGAGTAAAAGAGACTGAATCAACATGAGGAGGAACCCATGAGATGATGAACAGGTTCTATTTATTAGAATAACGTCTTTATTCTTCATCTTCACCTGCTGACAGATGATTTCACCTAAATAGAAATGTTGATTTTATGACTGCATTGTATTTTATCCTGTCAGTGTATAAAGTGCTTCATAAATAAAGTTGGTATGGCATTGATGGACTATCACTGAAGAAATAATCCTGTAATATTATGGCGTTCACCACAGGCTACTGAACAGGCCACCATGGAGGGAAAGAAGGAAACCAATCCATGGAGAAGGTTTTTTATTTGTCAGTTCAATCCTGTCTGAATGGTTGGATCCATGTGGAGCATCAGGAGACCCACAAACATCTCAGCCAAACTGGATCCAGCTGGTCTGAAGCAGTCTTTCTAAATAAAGTCCTTCCTGATCTGAACCAGCTGCTGGAGCACCGATCGAAGCTCCCTCAGCTCTGCATGGATGGCCTGAAGCTCCTCCTGAAGGTCCCTGGGATCCTGCTGGTTCTTTGGTTTCAGTAGCTCCTGTATCGGCGGGTCTTGATGGTCTGGGTTCTCCTGGACCTGAGGCTGGTGGTTCTGCTGGTTCTGACCCATCTGGATTCTGATAGAGAGAAAAACCATGTCAGAGTTAATCTGCTTTAGTCAAACAGATTCAGTCTGGATCTCTGAAGGAGAGCAGAGCCAGATGGATGAGGGTAATTCACCTTGAAGGTCTGCTCGTCTCTGTATCCCCCTGAAGGACCAGGAACTGGCCCAGAGTCTCCTGGAACCCAAAGCACCCCCATCATTTCAGCTCTCTGAGGTTTCTGTGTTTAGACTCATGAAGGTAACAGAGGCTCACTGTGATGATGGCGCAGGTCTCGCCCAGAGGAGAGCAGTGCTTGGAGATGTAGTGGTTGTCATAGAGACGGCGGAGGCGGGGCATGGACTCTTCCACCTGCAGGATGACGGTGGCCTGCTGCATCACAGCGTTAGCCTGCGAGTTATCGTGAACCCTGAAACCAAAACGCAGTGGTTTTAGTGGAGCTGCTTCCAGGCTTGGTTCTGGTTGGTGTTCAGAACCGAGTCCAGATGTCAGACCGGGGGCCTCATGCAGAAAGCATGCATTTCCACACTCTGTTCAGCCTGGAACATCAAAGCTGACCCATTTCCTCAAGGCTTGAAGCTGAACCACGTTTAGCCTCATAAAATAACCCAAGCAGTGGATGGAAGCGGACGCTTACCTGTGTGACGCTGTGTTGTTATGTACGGCAGCCTGGTTGGCTTTCACTAAACCTTGATTGTTTTAGAGTCATTTCTGGTCAAATTAGAACCAACCTTAAA